CTCACAGATGATTTCAGCTAAGAAATGAGCGTGTGGTTCAGGGAATGAAGGAACTAGCTGGCGTGGTATGGACATGATGCTTCTGAGCTCAATGTCATGGCTACAGTTAGCTCATGCCTTCTGAGGTAGGGGTCAGGGCTGGAACGTTGGTTTATTCAGGAGAAATAGGCTAAAATTTTTTTTAACTTACCCTGGTAGGAAGCGAGATATCTTTAATGCCTTCTCCTCAGTGAAGTGACAAGATAAATCATGTTTTCGGGCAATTTATGTTCTAAATTTTGCAACTTGTTTATGACTTTAAGATGGAGAAGATTTCTTAAAAATATTATCCTATATTTTTTCACAAGTGTTCCATAGTTTTGTCTTTAATGTTAATACAACATATTCTATCTGGAGGTTTTTTTGAACAGCTTTCACCTAGGGTACTGATCTAATTTTATTTTCTTTATACAGTGAGCACTTTTACCCAGCCTAGTGATCTTGATTCATGGTGTCTGGACACCAGACAGCTGTGGTTTGCAGCCCAGACTCCTTCCATCTTTCATGCTGGTCTATTTATCTGCATCTTCCAGAGTGCCAGACTTTGCCTTTGTAACATCTTCTATATAGTAGAATAAGCTCTCTCTTTTTCTTTTTCAGAATTGGTTTATAAATCTAGAGAGATTTATACTGTCATAAATTTGAAAACTGTCCAATCCACCCCCAAATCTTTTTGGTTTCTATCAGAGTCACACTATTTTTTTTGGTGTTTGGTTTGGGAAGGATGGCTATCATAACAATGTTTGTCTGTGCACAATTTATTTACTCTTTTATTTAACTGACTTAAAACTTACTCTCTAAAGAGCCAATATTCCGAAGGTAATTCCTGGCTAGGTGATAATGTAGTGTTTTTACAAACATTGTCTTCTCTCATTTTTGTAATTACATTTTCTGATTTGTTTTGATCTTTGCAGCCACTTTGTACTCACATTTTATCATTTGTCTTTGTTGATTCTCCTGAGTTTTACATGCCTATCTAAATACCCCCTGCAGATGACAATGTTTGCCTTTGTTCTCCTATTCCTTATGATGCTTATTTATTTTTCTTTTCACAACAGTATTGCATAAAA